GAATTTATAAAATAAATAAATAATGAACTTTAATTATTAATAAATATTTACTATTTCAATATAAAAAAATATAAAATAATATCATACCATTATTTCGATTTTTTAAATGTATTATTATAGTATCGATATTGAATAGATGTTGTATCAGTATCGTAAAGATATCGAATTGATATCAAATTTATAACAAATCGATATCATGTATATATCATTTCAATATCGTATCGACATCATAACTTTATTGTATCTATATGATATCAATACCATTTTGATATTAATATCATATCGATATCGTATCGAAATCATTTTAATACCATTTTGATATTATTATCGATATCGTATCGATATCGTATTTACATCGAAATGATATAGTAAAGATAAACTTAATGACCTCGATTCGATTATCGTCAAGTATGGTAAAATTATCATAATAATATAGATTTGATATCGAATCTATATCATAACAATTTTTTGAGTTTCTGTAAAGTTTTTCATGTATGCGAGCCCATTCAAGACGAATTTGACAATGTATTTCTGTTATTGCAGGTTTATGATGAGGAATACGAGCACTAAGTATACCTTTTTTAAGGATACGACGTATAGTAAATGCAGAAATGGGGTTTTTAAATGAGATGTCCAAATAGTTGAAAGTTTTTTGCACAAAGCCGACGATTTTCACCATTTTTTGAACAAAAGCTTTAAGCTCTTATTGAGATATTATATTAAGGAGTAGTAGGCGGCCAGTTTGTTTTTTTGGTGTGAAAGAACCAGTTTGACAATGGCATTTAAGTGTATTATAAACAGCTGTTTTACTACACCCCAAATTTTTAGCAATAGGGTGACCTGATTGTCCACATTTTTTACCATAAATAATAGCACCACGGGTTTTTAGGGTGAGTATCTTCATAATTTCATAAAGCTTTAACTAAAAGCGAAATAGCTAAAAATTTTATGTTCATGTTTATCATATAAATAAATAAAAAAATGTAATATTTATATCTCATGATCATATGATAATCTGCACAATTTTGGTAAAAAAAATTGTTCGCATAATTTTGGTTATTGACTATAATATACTGTATACTAGGAAACGAAAACTGTTGTGAGTCTGAAGCGAAGTATTTTTGTAGATTAGAGTTTTGAACTTGATTGAATATAACATAATAGATAGAATAGTGAATGTAATACAATAAATATGTAAAAAAAAATATATTAATAAAAGTATCGGTATCATATAATTAGAACATTAACAATAATTATATTATAGTTTAATAAAAATCTAATTAACTAAATTTGTAAATTACGTTTTCGTCAATAAAATTTATATCACTAATACAATTTTATTCTAAATATATCCTCTTCATTTTGCATAAGCAATTACAGTATATAAAAGCTAGGGTTTCACATTACAAAAGGCCATAGCAGATCTTGGTGACAAAGAATTTGTAGCAGATCTTTCTTTTGTGACAGTGTCTCGAGTACGCGCTCTTAAAGATCCTCTTTTCAAACCCTTCAACTTCAAGAGATTTCAGCGTATTAAAGAATGCAAAAGATTACATGAAAGGTTAGACAAAGAGAAACGTTTAGTTTCCATGATACCAAGAACTAAATATAACAGATCTAACAATAAAAAAAAATAGAAAGTAAAATTTTTCATTCCAAATAATTATTGTTATATTTTTATTATTATATTATATTAGCGTGAAAAACTGCAAATACGTTTTATTTCTACGAAATAGTGGAATCTAACAAATTGTTGCAAAAAAACATTAGTTATTTTTAGAAAATTTTTTTTTCACACTTATCATGTACTGTAACACTTTCATGTAACATCTTTATCTTATGTTTATCACAGATTTGTTTATTAGTGTAACACAAAATTTCAGTGACGTGATGCGTGCGGACAAATGGACTTCGCTATGTGACATAGTTATACTTAACATTCACAAACATATATAGTCGTTCGCTTCACTCCGGACAATAAAACACATAAAAAAATTTGTTACAGTCAGTTTATATAATGTTTCATTCCTGTTAGAGAATTACTAACCATTGCATTTTATTTTCTTTCGTTCTTTTATTATCAGATTATCTAACCAACCATCTTATCAATAAATCAATAAAAGAACCATTAATATATTATAGACAATATTTATATTAATTATTATAGCATATTATACTATTAAAAAGATTCCTTTAGTTCCAAACTGGTAAAAAGCTTTCATGGGAAGTCAGATTCTTAATAGCTAATAATACATATGTTAGAACTACACTACTTACTGGTTTGTTATGGCAGTATTTGCATTTGGAATTTTTGAGTTTTCGTGTTTGCATATGGAGATTTTACAGTATATTTATAAGAAACTGCAAAAAATTTTTGCATAAATTTTAAATCTGGATTTATTATACTAAAAAAAAAATCATATTCAGCAAGTTATCTTTTTTTGTAGTATCCTCCCTTTAACTGTGCCATATGTGAACTTCCATCCAGAGATTCTTCCCAAAGAATCTTATAATGGTAGAAAACTTTGTAAGTGATAATTGAGATTTGCAACAATTGTATTTTATAAATGTTTCTGTTGCTTTTTGAACATTGCCTTCCTATTTGTTTTGATGATCATCATTTTGAATGTGTGATTTACACATAGATTGAAATCTGGAATCTGAATGTTGAAAATGCAATATGTACTATTAAAACCCTGCAGGGTTCAAACCTTATCGGAAAGTAGTTTATCAACTATTTATTGATATATTCTATATGGGAGCCGTTCCAAATAACGAAAATCAATATCCAAACCCCGAGATCATCATAATCCCGAAGAGTCAGATTCCCGAGATCATAATCCCAAATGAATATAATCCCGAATATCATAATTTTAAATTATAATATAATTATGATATAGCTTATTACAATATATTATTTGTATCGCACGACATTATTAAATTTTTTTAAACTTTCTTTCGATAGGATAATGTTGTTACGAATACGATGCTTTCATATTTTTTATTGTTCAAAGCGATGGTTGGCAAATAGAAAATTTTTTTGCAAAATTATATAGCAACAATTTAATGAAATCAAATAAACTTCGTTAAACCTATGAAAAGCCTCTTAAAAATACACGAGATATTTCTTAAATTATCTACAATATATTCAATGGGTCTCAGTAATAAGAAATCAACTTCGCTCGATGGGTGCGTTTAATAATGTGATTATCATATCTTTATGCCCTTTGTATCTACTTTCTAATATTAAAATTTAACCTAAATATACAAAATCATATAATAAGATTTTATATAAAAAATTTTCGTGCGTGCTTATTCTTACTTAATTCAAATATTTAAGTCGTGAATTTATTAAAATTTTCAATATGGTCACTTTATCATGCGATAATTCTTTAGAAGGTCAGATTGCACCATTAATGTCGACAACTACATTTCAACCTGACGCTCACAGCAAAGTATCTATTCGGAAAAAGGAATATTGATTTTAAATATTTCATCAATTTTAAAACTAATTATTATGTAATTATCCATTTTATTTAATTATAAATTTATTGAAATAAAGAATTTGTAAACTAAATCTGAATAAGTCGACACTATACATAAATCAAAAATTTTATCTTGAAAATAACTATAGTCATATTCTTCCTTTATATGAATCTAAACTTGTACGAGTTTATATTCTGATGCAAATATGAAACAAATGATGAAGCTGACGACGATAGCTTTCACAAACCATTTCAATTATTGCAACAAATCGATATTTTTTTTTATCAAAAATAATGCTTCGATTAAAAATAACCGAATGATTAGGGATTGTTATCAAAAAATATTTTGAAGGTTCAGGTGATCACCTGATTTTATTATAGCAGTAATATTTACATATCCCATCGTATTATGTGTGAAATTTTATACTCTAATTTGATGAATATACTTATTTGTAATAAATCATTCTAAATCTTAAGTATTCTATCGATTCTATAGATCCAATTATTAATAAAAACTCCAAAAATTAAGTTATTTAAATTGGCAAATCTAAGATATCACAATCAATAAAACTATAACTATCATCATTCTCTTTTCATTTTCTTCACTTTCTTTATAACTAAATTATCTTTTAGGATAGATCATATCACAAACGTGCATTTATCCCAAATGATCACTTCGGAAATTATCTCACTCAAATGCTTTCTTTGGATAATACCACAAATGCTCACTTGGGATATCCCAAATGACCACTTCATATAGTATCCCAACTGTTCATTTCGGATATCCCAAATGATAAAACCTCAAATAATTCACCAAAATAATATCTTCGAATAGTCTCGAATAACCACTCGGTTATCCAAAATTATCACTTCGGATGTTCCCCAAAATGCGAATTCCGATATCCGAATGATCATTTCGGACATTAACGCATTTAGGCTAGCTCTAGTGGCCCGATTAATAATCTAACCGATTAAAGATTTTTATACCGGTTCCAATATGTATTAATAATACGGATGTTTATCTTTCATTAAATGCGTAATTTTATCAAAAGTTTTTCGTGAATCCTTGTCATATTGACCAAATGCATGACATTGTTTTATATATCATTGCCAAGTATTTAAATATGCAACAATTTCTCATGATTACTGAAACAGTAAAGTTATTAATCACTCTTCAAAATTCAAGATGTTCCAACCCTTTTCGCCACAATATTATCAAGTTTTAGAATTCATTGCAAATAAATTAAATGATGGTAATAAACCCTTAGAAGAATACAAGATTTCAAAGTTTGAAGAGTCTGTACCAATTCCTAATAACCTAGTCGTAGATGAGGTGAAATTGGATGAAAGATATAGGATTAAAAGTAAGGAATATTTGGAGGTCGGATTGAGAAAGTACGAGGACGTTGTGGATGAGAAGTGGAAAGAATTTGATGATGGAGGGTTATGCGGAGAGTGGATTAAATTTAAGGATGAAAAGAAAGAAGACGGAAAAATTAAAGTTAAAGGAAGGGTAGCGCTTTATTTTTTTGGAGGCGGATATTTTACGGGATCCAGTAAATCATCTCGTAAACATACGTTATTAATTGCTGAAAAGGCTGAATGTCAAGTTTTTTGTAAGTATTGCTAAATCATTTTTATTTCCTTGATCGCACTTCATTATTTAATAAATATATATATTTAAATTTGGTAATTAGCAATTGATTATCGTCTAGCTCCAGAACATCAATTTCCTGCGCCACATTGCGACGCTTTAGCAGCATACTTTTATCTTACTAACCCTGGCCCAGAAGCTGGATTTGGACCAATTGATCCAAAAAGGATTGTTTTTGTTGGAACTAGTGCGGGTGGTGGATTGGCCGTTGGTACCGCGCTGTTTCTTCGTGATTCTGGTTTGCCATTACCATCTGGAATTGTTTTATTTGTATAATTCAATATTATTTATTTATTTATTTTTTTTCTTTTTATTCAATCCTATTTAACAATTTTTATTTCATTTAATGTTGAATTCCCAAAGTCGCCACCGGTGGATTTGACAAATAGCATGCCATCATATCGGGAACCGGGAATGGATAAATCAGATATGATACCTGGCAGGTTATGCTTTCCTCCTCTTGGTTCACCAGGCCCCTTGTCAATTGAATATCTAAAACGCGTAAAAGTTCTATCAGAAAAGATTAAGCAAAAAAAGCCAAAGGTGGTTGTACATCATTCTTTTACCAAAATTCCAAGGTTTAGGCTTTGTTGCGCAAATGAGGCTTTGGCCATTCCTTATTTCAGTCCAATGTTGGCTGAAAGTTTAGGAAATTTACCACCCATTTTGTGTGTAAGTTATTGAATCATGAGCAAATTTTCTCCCACTACTCTCATCCATATAAGTTCATGAAATTTCAAACATAAAAAGTATTACTGCTAACATGATTATATTATAGCAAGCAGGTGGCGGAGAAAGGTTACGAGATTCAATAATTCTATTTAGTTATAAAGCTTCCGATCCAAGCAAGTATCTAGTACCCAAATACGCTATGGAGAATTTTTCTGAATCTCCATTCAAGAAACCCACAAAAGTCACACTCGAAGTCTATGATGAAGCTTGCCACTGCTTTTTCGTAAGTTGTTGTTATCTCTAATTAGATTATATTTCTATAATTCTATGAATACATAAACTTAGTTAATTCCGACTGAAAAAATTAGCCAGTTTGCGCTAAATAGATCTTATGATTTTATTAAGCTTCATGCAGCTGTCGATGAAAGAATTCCTAATGAGTTAGAAAGTAACGCTGAAAACGGGAAAACCCTTAATGCAGTTTCTATTAGCCCTAACTGCGAAGTTAGGGAGTTGGATGCGAAATATATGAAATGCCTAAATTTTGAGGATATTGGAGTTGTGCCGGACGTGAATGAACCTGATTATGTTGATAACGTTTAGCTTTTATTATAACGAATTATTTGTAAAAAATTAATAAGAATTTAAAAGAATGTATAAACCGACGTTTTATTTTGTAATTAAAGCAAAAAATTTTAAGTTTGTACGACGAATCTATTTATTTTTTAAAAGCAAGCAAAGCAAGCAGACCTGATAAAATACTTTTTTATTCATCATTTTATTTATAACAAATTCTTGCTGTATTGGATGATCCACTAACTTTTGCAAATGGTTTGTACACGGAAACTCGAAATCCTGAAAAATATCAAGCTGAATATCAAACCAAATTCTTGTACCCAATTTCCCAATAAATTCGAAATTTCGAATATTATAAATCAATGAAAATGAAAACCTAAGTTATCCTGAAATCGCTAGACTCCGATAGTTCAATTTTCCGATACCTAAAAACTGGTACCTATTCGCGGAAATTAATAATATCATTAATTTCCTATCTAAAACACACTCTTAAACTGACCATTAATTTGTGACGGATAAGAATTGTTTGATTATTCTGGACATTGGTAATTTCGGGAAACAGTAGTTTCTTTGAATATCGTGCTGAACATATTCGATCACGTGAATTTGAAAATCGAATTTGACGATCATTGCGAAAAATGAGGACTTTTCTTTATAACGAAATTTTGCAAGCATATAATTGAAAATTTTTATTTAATTTAAATTATAAAGGTTATATAATACATATTCTTAATAAAGTTATTATTTCGTAAAAAAAAAAAAAAACATTTTGAGAACTTTAATTTTACTTAATGAATCAAAAACCTTATTTTTAAAATGGTTAGACCTGTTGGTATATATTACAAAATCTCAAGGTTACATCTCCATATATACTGTACTTTGAGGAAAAAAATATCGGTATACCAAATATCAGTCAGTATATTACGAAATTTTATGTACCGATATTATTATATTATGTTATTGATATAAAAAATTTTTAAAATAAGCCAATCAGATTTCAATAATAAATATCTTAAGAAAAATGTTAATTTTAAAGTAATATTATATCAAAATATTAATTTTAAAATATAAATAACTATATGTTTCACAATTTTATTCTCTTTCTATCAAATATTTAAATATAGAAATTGAATAAATTCAAGTAAGTTTTATTAGAAATAAAAGAGTCTTTGAATTTCATGAAAATTACACAAAAAAATATAATTTAAAAAATAAATACTTTGATTTATCACTTCCATCCCTAACCAGCATTTCTACAAAATCTGCTTTATTATATAGATTTTCTGTTTATTTTGCAAGCTCATTCTTTTTTATTTATTTTTTTTTTAAAACATTTCAAATATATAATAACATACAAATATCTCATATGATCATGATCATAATTGTAATTATAACATAATTGCATATAATAATTTTATTTAATATACTTTCTTTTTATATTCTAATAAAGTTATTTATATAATTATTTTATAATTTATTATAATTACAAAATTAAATTTTAAATTATAAACATTTTTTGCAATTACATTAATCAATAAATTATTTTAATTTTTTTTATTTGTTCAATTACTTTAAAGAAATATTTGAATACTTTAATCAAAAAAAATTAATTTTAATTATATAAGTAAAGTTGTTCAGCAGGTTTAAAAATATATGTATATAAATATTTATTATTATTGTATTAATAGTTGTAAAATTATAAATATTTTTTTGTAATTATATTAGCAATTACTTGACTTGTAAATTTAATACAATTTATAATTTTAACTTCTGCAGTTAATTAATAATATGAATTTAAAAAAAATATTATTATATTAGTAATTTTTTAATTTTTTTTTGAAAATTTATTAAAATAATAAAATGTATAAAATGTATCAATATATTAATTTTGTTTTATATTTTTTTAAATAATATTTAGTTTTATGTTCATTATATTATTTTTATAATAAAACTGAGATCAGATCATATCAGATTAATTAATTTAGATGTATATTTATTCAGATTAATTTTATATTTGATCTAATTTAACCTTATCAAATCAGATTAAGTCATTTATCTGATCTAATTTGACCTATTTAAAGTTCTAATTGTGATAAGAATTGCAATATAATTGCAATATTTTTTGATAATTATAGCATCTTCTTTATACAAATTTTAACTCATTTTTTAACAAATAAATAAGATTTATATAAAATTATAAAAAAAAGAAAAAAACTATAAAATATTTTTTTTTATATGTTATATGATTATTTTAAAATACAATAAATAGTGAATAAGTATTTATTATTTTTAATCAATCAAAATAATTGTATAGTACTTTTTTTATAACAAAAAAATATTATTATTGCTTATAAAATAGATTAATAAATATGAGTTATAATAACCTATTTTCATTCACTTTATATATGATACATAATTTTTATTCAGTTGCATAATTATATTCTATAGATTTTTTTATTATATAATAATATCTATTTTAAAATAATGATCATAGGATAAGTTATTTAAGCTATAACTTTATAAAGAAATGCTTAAAGAAAATTTAATAATAATATTATTATTAACTATAAATAATATTTTTTGATATTTTCTATAAGAAGATAACATTAAAGAATTAGAATAGTAAGAAGAAGTCATTACAGATGGATATGAATAAGTTTTAACATGATATTTTAATTTAGAACTTTTTGAACTTTAAATATTTTGCATTGTAAAAACTTTTTTTTTTTAAATTAAAGCTTCTTAAACTGTAAAGACTTAAATTTTTTTAGTTATAAAGATTACAGTTTTTTGTAATTTATAAATATATAAAAATTTAAAATAAATATGAAGATTAAAATATTAAATAAAACTTAAATATTTTAAATTATTATTTTATTCTTTGTATCTTCTTTTGAAGAATTTGCTAAAAATTCTTTATAATTATATTTATCTAAATTAAATTTATTTTTAGAAAAGAAAAGGAATCAATATTTATTTAAAATAAAGATGGTACAGCAATTGATTCCAAATTTACAAAATGTTGCAACATTAGCTAAAATTAGTTGCAACATATATAGGTTAAAACCAATTGCAATGTAAGTTGCAACATTAAAAGTTGCAACATATTAATTACAGTTTCCATCTTTAATTTAAAATATATTGATCATCATTAATTTTGCAATAATTTATTAAACTTTTATAGGACTTATGATTAGAAATTGATTGTAAATAAGAATTAAAAAGCCTATTATTTTTTAGCATTTGAATTGTAACACAATAATAAGAATAGTTATTAATTAATCATTTATTATTAAGATTAATATCAGTGTTTATTGTAATATTATTTATTATTTTTCTAATTTTTATATAACTCATAGGTTTATTTTAAACTAATTTTCTTCTATAAATATTAATAAAATAAATAAATCTTTATTAGAAAATAACAAATATATATATATTATATATTAAATATACATATAATTTACGATAAAAAGAATGGGAAGACATTTTTTAAAGATATATAAATTTTTATTATTGATTTTATTTATTTTTTTTATTTAAAAGAATAATATTAACACAAAATTTTCTATTATATAACTAACATTTGTATAATCTCCTTCTACATTGATACATACCTGAATTCAGTTTGACATATTTTCAATCAATGTACTGAAGTAATATAAAAATATTTAAGATCATTCTATTCCTGCTGGATTATAATAAGAAAAATCTCCTGTAAAATTTTTATTTTATTTCACTATATTCTTAACCTTTCTCTTTACTTTTCTCTTTAAATAACCCAAATATTCTTAATAAAATTTAAGGCTAAACTCTATAAAAATTAAAAAAGAATCCTTCTTGAAAGACATTCTTTCAAATCACACTAAACATCTTTTGACCTGTATTTAAAATTATTATTTTATAAAAAGGCCAGTTACAACTGTATAACATATAACATATTGTATTGTCATATAAATAATCATCTAAAATTTTTTGATACAGATGATAATCTAAATTTTCAGTGAACAAATGAATTCTAACTTTTTCTTTTGCATTAATCACTTCCCAAACATAAATCTTAAATGGATATTTTACTTACTATAGAAGCAATTGGTTGTATATTTTGAGACCATACTTTAATAGTATTGCTAAACATCTAAAGCATCATTTTATCCAAAAAAATAACTTTCTTTCAATTATAATATAAATGTTCACATGTCTAAAACAAACAAACGTTCTTTGTTCTTTAAGTCAAGAAAGGCAATTTTCTTAAAAAAATAGAGACATAACCAAGATTTTTAAGTTATGTTATAATATATACTTACTAACTTTAAGTTTAAAATCAGATTCTTTTAATTTAGCTTTAAATTTATTTGTCGTCATGAAATAGTTATATTTTAAAATTTTTCTAAATGGCAGCATTTTTTGGAAGATAATTTCTTGGATGCTCAGATGAGTGATTTATAGAAATATCATTAGTTTTACATAACATACTTATGTACCATTTATAGAAGTATAAAGAAATATTCAAACATTCAGAAATTTCTTTATATTATAAATATTTTTATTGCTAAAGTGAATTAACAGAGTTTTGCTAAATTTCAAAATGACTTAGTATTGTTTTAATAGGTAAAAGTTAGAAGTAAACAATAATAATAATCATTGTTTATGATTTGCCTTTTAAATAATCGTGATTGAACATATATGCAATATTTTTATCACCATTCTTTTCATTAAGAACTATATCTTTTTGACTTTTACAAGTCTTATAAATTAGAAAATCTCATATTAAATTAGAAACGATAAAAATAAAAGAATATTTTTTAAAATATATATTGATTACTAATAATATCAAAAGATATAGAAATATAACGTGAATTTAATTTTTCATATTTATTTTTGTAAAAAGCTTTATCTTAATTATTTTTATCTTTATGTAAAATAAGATTTAAATCTTTATCTAAAAAATGTTCAAGATCTTTTTTACAAATTTTATATGTATCTTTATCATATAAACCATATAATAAACATAATCAAAAAAAATA